TAATTGTTTAGGCCCCTATATTATTGCATGGATCTTCCTAATCAGACTGCGGCTCCCTTAAGGGTTCTTCCGAAGGCCACTACGGAAGTCCTATGATATAGCGGCCTCAATGGTCGGGAGAGAGGTTACTGCAAACAGATTAACTTAACTTTGTATGTGCGATAATGGATCTTGTCAGTATTTCACCGACCCCTATGCTACTTTGTTAGTCCTCAAGATGACAATATCATCACCACCACCAGCACCAGCATCATTGGAACATACCTACACGACATCCTGACCAGCCCCAGCTCCTTCTCTTCCTCCTGCTCATCCTTTGCGAAATCATCGCCATCACCAACATCATGATCATCATCATGATCATCATCATCATCAGCAGCATCAGCATCAGCATCATCATCACCAGCATCACCATCACCATCATCATCATCATCATCAGTGTCTTCATTCTCATCATTATCATCACCACCGTCATGGTAAACAGCATCCTGCCTACGACCACACAACCCATTAACCAGCCGCATGTTTACCTTACGGACAGTATCGCCATCATCCCCCCAACCCAGAAGAACAGAACCTTTAATGAGGCAATGCACTTCAGCTTTATGTGCAAGATTAAAGGTGTTGGAAACGAAGGCGTGGGCATCGTGGGCAGAAAGGGATTGTGTTGACAAGCAATCCATGGGTTGTTGGGCTCGATCCAAAACAGACTTGAAGTGTCTTGGAAACCCTGAAAGCCTAAACCCTGCTACGCACCTTTCAACCCAAACTCTACCCCAGTTCATCCTTTATTGTTGCAACCCTATCATAAGATCCAAAACCACACTGGTCCATGCACCGCATCTGCCTTCGTCTTCAAGTGCCGCTCTTCCACCGTCTTGTTCACCCGCTCTTGGATCAAAGCCGCCGCTTTCGCTAAGGCCGCAGACTGAGCAAGGGTTTAGGGTTTAGGGTTTAGGGTTTAGGGTTTAGGGTTTAGGGTTTAGGGGTTTAGGGTTTTAGGGTTTAGGGTTTAGGGTTTACCTGGGGATCCAAAGACCTACCGTTGTATGGGTTCTACCCTCTAATTAAGGGGTCATAACCTACTATTTTGTAGGGTTTGGGGTCACAGGTAGGGCAAGGCTCTGGGGTTTGCGGGGTTCGAGTTTCGGCCTAAGGGCTTGGGATTGTAGGGTTCGGAAGGTTGGGATTTACGGATTTGGGCTGTAGCGTCGATTGAAGGCGCCAGGGTTTAGAGGCTGGACGATTTGTGAGTTTCCGAAAATAGGGGACCCTCATATAGTAACCTAAATAGAAGGATCGTTATTATAAGGACCCCCAAAATACGGTACCCCTAATTTTCGGAAACTCCCATTCAGGGTAGGGCATGCTTAGAAGCCCGGCGGCTCATACAATGCTTGAAGAGAGGAGTAATCATAGGAGCCGTAACCTGCATGTAGGGGACCGGGCTTCTCTGGCAGCCTTTGGAGATTCTGTGGTAGGCGAGGGTTGAGGGCTAGATCTAAGGAGGTAGGGTTGACAGTTTCGGGGTTGAGATTTAGGGTTTCGGGTTTGGTCCAGGATCTGGGACTGAGGGTCTGCTGTTCTGGCTGGGTGTAGGGTTTAGGGTTTAGGGCCAAGTTTAGGGCTTAGGGTTTAGGGGTTTACACTCTCACAACTCGGACAAGCCAGGCGAGGATCCATGTTCGAAAGTCGGTGCGAAAAACATTGGAAGTCAGTATGCCTGCAACTATGCCAAGAACAGCCAGAATAAGTCCTCGAACCAAAAAAGAATCGTTCCTGCATGCTCCCTCCGGAGCCGGCGTTGTGGACCTAAAATCCGGCTCCAAACGGCATCTGCACTGCACTGAGGAGAGCCAACCGCTGGAGTTCCGCCACCATGCTTGGATTTTGTGGGCGGCGTTCTGCTGGCGCTTTGCCGGCCATGCTCGCCAACACGCTTGGATTTTGTGGGCGGCGTTCTGTCGCTTCGCCTGCTGAAGCTGGAGACGAGAAATGTTCCCGTAGGACAACACGAGGATTGGGCCATGAAGGCTAAACCTGAGATGACGGTTTGGCTAAATTTAATTGCAAATCAAGGTTTCGCAAAGACCGAAACTTAAACCCTAAATTAAGGTGAAGTTTAACTGACATCGAAACTAAGATGTCATTAAGCTCGAAATTCAAGTTTACGTTATTCCGGCTTAGTTCTTCAGCCCAAGATTAAGTTTAGCTGTCGCTCTCCCTGCTTGAGCCGTAGCCATTGGGGTTTAGGGGTTTAGGGTGCTTGGTGCATAAGGAGCATAGGGATGCGACTGAGATGTAGGACCTCCAGAACCATCAGCAATGAAGGAGCCTGGCCCAACGAATTCACTTACATAGGGACCTGGGGGTCTGGCCATACCTTAAGAACCCGAAACCCACTTTTTTGTAGGTTCTTATTATAAACCCTAATATGGGATTTGTAGGGACCCTACAAAAAAGGTAGGTTTTGGGTTCTTAAGGTATGTTATACTGTAGCTACACTAGGCAGGCCTCATGACAGATGTTAATTGGTGTGAATGCTTGTTCAGGCATCTGCACCCGACCATCTGAAAACGAAGATGCTCTGACCGATTCAAATTAAGGGCTGCATAGACACTCACCAGCACACTGTGGGGGCCTTGAGAATTAGAATGGGTTTTGGCGGGTTCAATAACAAATATAGGAGCAGGAGTTCCAAAGACAGATAGCACTGATTGTTCTGGCTTCTACACTATGCATGAAACGAGCACCGTACATCCAGAAACTCATGCTGTGTAGCAGACCCTCAACCCCATACTATCACAATAGCCCCAATGAGATCGATATGTCTAACAAGGCTCTTGACATCCCTGCACCATAAAACTACAAAAAGTACAAGTATAGACCTATAAGCAACACCCACTGCTATCCAGTACCGGGGTCGCGGCTAAGGTTGAGCAAATGCCCATTGTTGAGACCATCAGCCTCGGATTCTAGCTGGCTCGCAAGGATCTTAAGCCCGGCAGCGTGCAGTCTAGGTGCGGGTTTCTTAAAGTGTACTTTATTTAACGTTGTCACCCAATTTTAAGAATAGGGATGTACAGAAATAACCTTTTCTCTTGACCATGGCACCTTGAACCAAAACCCTCAACGAGAATCCAGATGGATGCTTTAGGCTCTAAGTTGTTCGGGCTGTCCCTATCATTTTCCCGCTGCCGGACAATGTGGAGATCCCCTACTCTGGACATGAAGGCGCCTCTAATAATTATAGAAACAAGTAATGTTGCAGACCGAATTCCAAGGCCCAGAATCTCCAAACCCGACCCTGCTCCAAGACTGCAAGCCCTGAGCAGACGGTCTAGGGTTTAGGGTGTACCTATGGGCCCCATAGTAGTTCCTTTTTGTGGGCTTAGATTTAGGATCCTATTAGGTAGTCCCAAAAAGGAACTCTATGGGGCCTATGGGTAAGCTGAAAGCCTAAGCCTGCAGAAAAACCCCATATCCATCTAGACAGTTGTACTCGGCCCCATGTCGAAGAGGTCTCTGGAACCGTAAACCAAGCAACCAAAATACGGCACAAAAGCTGACCTGGTCTCCCAGTGGAACCCTGCGGTGCGGTCTTCTTCTTGGGTCTCCTTATTGAAACCGAAATGAAGGACAAGGGTGCCGGGCTTCGGATGGCCTGGCGGTTTTCAGTTATAATTATAGTAGAATCATATCACGGAACCCAAACCATTTTGTAAGTTGCATTGGGGCTTCCCTTAACTTCCTAAGCAAGGACCTAGTCTTGAAGTGCCACGTTGCTTTGTCACCATGCCAGTAGACTTGTCCAGCTTTGCCTCCTTGTTTCCTGACAGAATGCAAGACAAAGGCCATACCCAAGGCAGTCGTGGCTGAAGTGAGGTTTAAGTTACAACCACGACCCCGACCAGCAAACACTGACAAACCCCCAGAGCCAGGAAAAAAGAAAAGCTTCCCTAAGGGTCCATGTACCCAAATAGTAGAACATAAGCCCTAAAGTACCCATATAGGGACTACATTAAGGCCAATGTTTTACTATTTGGGTACATGGACCCTTAGGGCTTTGGACCCATCAAACCCCTACCTCTCCGAGGCCCCCAACCCCTGACTCTCCGAAAATCGAGCCCGGACGTCAACAACAATCGCAAACTCTGCCTTTTGGGTTCATGGGTAGTTATCAATAAGTGGGGTCATAAGTAGGGCAACTATAATAACCCATATTAGGGGACTTATAACCATACTTATTACAACTATAACTACCCATGAACCTCCAAGTGGGTTCATAAGGGAAACCTGGAACCTCCCCAACCCAATGGCCAAGTACACCCACAAGCTGGAAAGACATCCTAAAAAACCGGTGTTTCGGACAGGCCGCCTTTGTCTTGCTTTTTGCTCGGCCGCTGACTGGTTCCACCCTGCTTGTCATGCCATGCCCACCACCTGAGATGACGTTTGTTGGGTGGTTTGGAATTGGAGAAATCAACGCCTCGACACCCCTGCTGCCAGCGCAGCAGCTCTATTCCACGGCTGCTGACCCTGCAGCATTTAATGCCCCTGACCCCTGAACTCTTTCCGCTCTAAGGCTTGTCAGGGCTCGGGGCCAAGGGGAGACTCTCTGGTTTCGCTGCCTTAAGGTCCGCCCTACACCAGATCCCCCAGCCCACACCTGAAGCCGACAACCCTCGTTTGGTTCCCACACTCTGAAATCCCTTTCCTGCTTTGGACTTCTAAGAGTCTAGCCTGAAGTCTGAGGTGCAGAACATGTCTAGTGCTCAGTGGAGGGTTACTCCACAGACCACAGAGCCTAAACTTCGCTAAACCCCCACAAGCATCGATCGCTCGGCACCCGCCTTCAGACTTCAAATTAATTGCGGGCGCTGCATCGCAAAGCGAGCTGTTTTCAATGAACTGCTGAACTCGGTACGGGTAAAGCTCTAAGGTTTCGACACTGACACTACAGTACATCTTTCCAAGCTTGTTTTCCGAAACCCTAGTCCCAGATTGTCCGGATGCTCTATGAGCATGTGGTCGATATCTTACATATTTTCAACAGGATGCAGGGTACACCATACTGTCAAGCTTTCGCGGCTGCACAGGAATAAGCTTAATGATACTCCTGATTGACGCTTCTATCCTCCATTTCTATCTGGGCATGCGGACTAACGACACAAAACTACTTGCATGTGGGTTTGCAAGCTTCCTCGTCATAATTAGGATCTGTGGACAACGGGAAGGTTTTCTGGAACACATGAGGAAATCAGAAGAGCATATTGTGTGCAAACGACTCTGGAGTAGCATTGCGTCATTGTCTTGCGTGTGTCGGCCGAGGCCATGGAATTTCTTAGAGAAGACCTCAACTGGAACTTCTGAACCGTTAAACTGCAACGACCATGTCTCGGGGAACCAAGCCACTTGCTGTGCTGGGTGCAGTCAATGCAGTCCTGTCACGGGTGAGGAGATTCGAGGGACTCATCAATAGCGGGCTGAGGGTTGAGGGTCATCATCATAACCGCAACAGTCACAGTGACAGCTGCTGTTGGCGGGATGAAGGCTAGTCGGCTAGCCGTGCGGACGACCCTGGCAATTCCCCTGCATCACAAGAGTCAGAACCCTGTAAGCAAGCACACCAACAAAGCCTCGCAGATTCGGAACATGAGGCCCTGCCCGTTCTTATTATAATCTTTCGAAGCCTAGCAGTCCCTACAGCCGGGCAACTATTTACCACTCACGTTGGAGCCCCTTGTATTCTGAAACTCTACCTAAAGCTTTGGAATCATTCCAAAGCAAACGATATGTTGATGGCAAAGCCTGCACAGGCAATCCCTCAACTGACCAGCCGCAAGCACCTCAAAGTCCAATTTCTAGGATTCGGCTATGTAAACCCGAAGCCCGAATATAGGAGCCTCAATGATTAGAATAGGGTTTTGGGGCCCATTAGATTAGACTCACACTAAGGACCCCCCCCACAAATAATGTTGGTAATTATTCAGGCCCCTATATTAAACCCGCTGTGTGTGTTTGGGGCTTCAAGGTTGATCTTTCGAAGCTCAGGGGTGGGCATGGAAGAGAGATTAGCAGCTTCGGGTCTCAGTAAGCTCCGGGACCGCCTACCAACTCTAACTCTACTTGTAGTCTCCAGTATAGTTCGTTTTTTTTCTTTTTTTTTGGGGGGGGGGGGGGGGGGGGCAGAACTAGTTAGTTTGACTAGTTTTCCATTTAGGACCCTACAAGGTCACCCTCCATCTACCCTCTATTCCTGTAATTGGGGGCCATATACTCCTATATAAGAAGGTGCAGAGGAGTGTCCTGGTATAGTCTCCAGTGCAGTTCCGTTTAACTAATTGTTTTAACTAATTGTGTATCTAGGACCCTAAACAATCAACCCTGAACCGTACCCTATAAGGCAACCTAAAACAGGAACTAGTTCGGAGACTGTCGGCTGAGACCCGACACAGACTTACAAAGCCCAAAGGGTCTAGAGTCTAGGGTGTAAGGTTCAGGGTTTTAGGGTTTACGGCCTCGGTGTCGCTAGTGTTCTATAGCCCATATCGTAGCCGTCGTAGCCCTTATAGCAACAGTTTTTGTATGTCCCAAATTCAAAAATTCCCTGAGAGTAACCCTCCAGTATCCCTAAAGCTTACACCCTCAGCCGCCCAAGTAAGCCCCTTATGCTCCAGTATGTAGAGATTTCTTTTTGTGCTCCTGGAGTAGAGCCAGGAAGGAAGACATCGGAGCGATGGCTGTCGCATTCAGCCGGCGAAGGAGATTCGACATGCCAACCTAAGTGGCATAGCTGTCAAGAACTTGCGTTTGCTTCATTATATATTTTAGATCTTTAACTACGATAACTGCCCAAAACGTATGAGATGACGTTTGGCTCGCTGTAGTTGATGCAGCCTTACTGGCACCATCATTCATGAGGCTGCGAATGCATTTGTTGATGTGAGGGCTTCCGAACTCCCGAGAGTCTTCGGGGCTTTAGATTTGGAGCTCACATGAGGTGTATGGCTCCGAAGGATCTACATACTGTCGGAGCTATAAGTATCTGCAAGGCAAGACAGGTTAACCCCAACCCCTAACCCCCAAACCCTATACTTGCAGCTTTGTCGGCCGAAGCTTGGCGTTTGACCCGGAACTCCAGAACTCCGCAAAAGCACGATCCTGCCCTGCAAGTGTTGCTAAGGAAATGCGATCTCTATATATCGGTTTAGGGTTTATAGGGTTTTGGGATATGTGTGCACCCCTATGTCTTCATCGTCTATATGCTTAAACGTTGATGGCTCACTCACCTGTTCGTCAAAACTGTGTGCGCATGGCTACAAAAACAACGACTGGTTCAGCAGCTTATATATGCTGCTTTGATGACAAAGGACTCTCGCAGCTCGATGTACTCGTAAAGGAGGTCTGCAGGAACAAGCAACTTAAACAAGTGTTCAGTCGCATAGGCAACGGCATTAGATACATTTATCCTCACGAGTGTATACCTACGAGCACTTGCTTGCTTAATATCCCGGGGAACTAACGCCTCAACCTCACGCCCGAAAAGGCTAAAGGTTACTTTCTCTACGAATGCGTAGTTTTCTAAACTAGGGTCCCTTTTGGGTCCCATTTATAAAGCTGCCGTACTATTTCGGGACCTAAAAAGAGACCCTAGTTTAGAGGAAGACCCAAATACAGAAAACAAAAAAAAAAACGTTTTCCATCTCAACCTCCCATCCCCAAAACCTCGAAATTCTAAACCCGAAAACCCTGAAGCTTAGGTTTTTCCTGTAGCCCCTGAAGAATAGAGTTTGGCGCACTCCTATTCTGTAATCGTAGTAAGGCTACCCCGTTTTCCCTGCGATTTGGTTTTGAGCAAAAGAACCCAAAAAGAAAAGGGCAAAAGGGTACTAGGGTTGTGCTGTTGCTGCCATGCCATGCAGGCAAGTCGCCATTTGCTCAGCGATTTGCGGACACTGACGCAAAACCTTCCCGTCCACACATGCGAGGAGGCAGGGTTTTGGGGCGGTTACATCTATCGTGTCTCGGCTTCACAAGTTCGTTTGTGCTGTCATGTTTGGCACTGCGCGGTCAAAAGACAGAGACGACACCGACAACTTCTCTGCTCAGGGTCGCAAGCTATGCGACGGAAGGCATTCTCCCACGAGCCCAGTCCACCGACGGAGTCGGACTAGAGTGTGGGGGATCATATTTCTTTATTAGGGTTTCGACTCACACACTCGTAGAACGCAGGCATGGCAATAAGTGTCCGAGGTTTATTAGGGTTTAGGGTTTAGGGTTTAGGCTTGTGGGGTATTGAAGAGTCAGATGTCTACTGGCCAGTGCTGACTGCATACAGTCACTGGCTGCTGCTGCACATGACCTCTGCAGCTTTAATAAAGGCTTCGGCACCTACAGTTGAAACATCACCCCCTAGAAATCCAGCTTCCCCGCTTTAGCCATCTCAGGCGTGCCGTGCCCCCACACGTGTTGAACCGTAGCGCAAACCTGTAACACAGCCGCAGAGATCCAACCCCTATACTGATTGGAGGACCAGCCGACTTAGCAGGATAATATTGAACCTTAATATTTAGTAATAGAATAGGGTTTTGGGCCCCATTATACTATACTGTATAGACTATACTTATAAATAAAAGGAAACGCCCAAATAGTGTTGGCAATTACTTAGGCCCCTATATTATACTCTAAGCTACAAGCAGGATGAACCAATTTCAGACCGCCACGCCCTCTCAAAATAGGTACTGACTCTGCGCTCAAGCCCTGAAACCATCAGTCTCCATTGTATTTCGTTTTGGGTTACCTGCCAAGATCCTACATCCAAAACTGGTGAGACCAAAGAAAGGGTTTCGGGTTTCAGCACTCACAACTGGGACAAGCCTGGTGAGGTTCCAAGGGTTTAGGGTTTAGGGGAATGGAGACTGTAAGCAGGCCCTGAATCGTAGGCGAGACACAGCGCCGATCAGCTGCCGATTGAATCGGGCCGATGCTTCGGCGTCGAAGACCTCCGGCCGCGCTCTGCCTTTCAGCACCTCAGATCCCACTGGGGAAAATCCTATGTATTGGCTCCTGTACGGGAGACTCGTAAGCACAAGAATTCCACGGGGCTCTGTTTTTTGCGAGCTGGGTTTTAGGGTGCAGGGTTTAGGGGTGCAGGGTTTGCGTCTGCTTGAAGGACACGGAAGCTGCGTAAATAGGTAAGTAGCCCAAGCCGCGTTAACTTGGGGTCCTCATGCGACTTCTGACCTTGGTACTAAGCCTCCCCATCCTCCTTGTGGTCAGCCGTCTTCATGTCCGTGGTAGGTCTGCCAATAGGATATATCCCCTTGTAAGACAAAAACCTAATGTAGGGGCCTTAATAATTAGAATAGGGTTTTGGGGTCCTGTATAGCCTAATTATATTAAGGAACCCTCAAAATGATAGAGGTAAGCATTCAGGCCCCTGCATTCCGCGGCAAGCCTGTATTTCCTGCACCCCTTCGCGACTGGTGTAGCGACTCTGCCAGGGTGATCACTAAATCCCCAAAGCTGCTCACCCTGAACCCTGAGTCGGTGATAAAGCCTAATGTAGTGGGCTTACGAATTAGAATGGGGCTTTGGGGGCCCATTATACTACAACTATAATCAGGAACTCCCACGATAGTATAGGTAATAATTTCAAGCCATATATTACTCACTAAGTCCGTTGATCCCTGAAGGAGGGATGCTGCTTGCGGCAAGTGCAGACCCGCTCTCCACTACATTGACATACAACTTGAAATCACGGGGCCGCTCAAGACCGGAGAATCCTAAAGCCTAAGCTCTACCTTAAACTACCAAAAACCTACTTTTTTGTAGGGTCCCTATAAAGTCTATATTAGGGTTTACAATAAGGACCTACAAAAATAAAGCAGGTTATGGTAGTTCACGGTAGGTTTGTCCAAAGCATCAACCAGGCTACTTGGTGTGGAGGTTGCTCACTTATACCAGTAGTCCCTAAATAATAAGGGTACCCTTTTCTCCTACTATTTGGTTTTATTCAGGGAACCCAAAAGGAAAAGGGCAAAAGGGTACTACTGGGGAGCCTAGTATAGACCCCAAGAACTTTCAGGTCGGGTTCCGTCAAACCTGGGCTCTCTAGTCAGTCCCAACTCTCCACTCCAAACCGTCGGTGCAAACAGGGGGCTGCTACCAGCAAGCGTGCCACGCGTTGCTGCAATTCGGTCATCCGTCGCTGAAAGACCTTGAAACGTGCTGTGCGAGGGTTTCTTTTTCAGGTCTGTAGGCTGTATACAGGCTTCCAAACAACGGTTGTATCGGGATTTTTCTACTGTTGCTCGGGATGTGAAAAGAGTCCTATGAGGATTTTGTAAACGGGACTTCCTCTTGTTGGAGTTCTTTTGATAAACATCCTACCACCCGCAACCCAAGACCTAAGCACGAACACAGTGCAGGTTCCGTACTTAATCTGCAGCACTTGGGGGTTTGGCCCAACAGAAGCAACACCTAAATCCTTCATAATTCTTCATCTAAACTAAACCCTAAACTAAACCCTAAACCCTAAACCCTAAATCTAACCTCAAGCCCAAAACCTCAACCGTGCAGTACCAGTATAGATCCCCTTCGCGGACCCTTCCAAGAACCCATCGGCAGGCCTGGATGTGGCCCCAGTTAGAACTCGAGGCCATATCTTCCGCGTAAAGCTCACCTTGCGATAGGGGAGTTTCCGAAAGTTAGGTGGTTTAGGGTTTAGGGCCTTAGGGTTTAGGGTTTAGGGTTTAGGGGACCTTATTTTGGG